CACCGAAAAATACTTTTTACTGTTCTTTTCGATCGTTTTTTCGCTCTCGTTGTCTTTATCAACCTTTTTCTCTCTTAATCTGCACTTCGCCGCGAAATGCCCGTTTTGCCCGCACAACCAACACTTTGTGTCTTTCGGGTCTTTCTTTGTCTTGTTTCTTTTACCGTTTGCTGGACGCGACGTAAAAATTGTATTCTCGCCTTTTTCACCCACTTCGCCTATGTTGCGCCTCTCTCCTTCCTCCAACAATTTGATTTTTATAGCGCTAAATGAAGGCAATGTGTCCCGTGTTTCGATAGCGACTACGAAATTGTCCAACTCTTCATGTAAACTTGCTAGTAATATTATTACAAGCATTTCATCAGCTACCTGCACTTGTATTTCATTTAATTTTTCTACTACATTAGAAAAATTATTCAAATGCTCACGAACACTGTCTGTAGCTGACATTTTAATATGCAACAATTGCTTGAACAATTGTACTTTACGCGCGGGTCCCGAAGGCATGTAGATCTCGGATAACTTTGTCCATGCTTCTCTCGCGGTTCCACAGTGCTTTATACAGTTTATCTCCGACGCTTTTACAGACAACAAAATGCTAGCTAGAGCTTTCTCATCTTTGCTATCAAACGACGCTTTCTGTTCCACTGTATCGTTCTCATTTTTTAATAACCGACCACATGTCACCGACCACAAGTCAGAATGAATCAACAGACTTTTCATCTGCACTGACCACGCACTATAGTTTTCACTATCTAGTTTCTCAATTGCAAACATTGAACTCATTTTGCACAATTTAGTTTAGCACACGCTTTAACTAATAAATCGAGTCTCATATGTGATTTTTCCAATCACCAGCACAGCTTTCACTTTCCGCTGCCTGGGCCCATAACCTATTCAATTTAGAGGTTTATTAGAGACTGACTTAAAACTTAGAGGTGGTACTTATCATCTTATATGTACCATACTTTCTATCGATATATCATATCGCATTGTAACGGATGATATTCTTCAACAGAACCTGTAAAACAAATATCTATCTACCATGTACAAGAGAGTATGCATTCAGGTATTCAAGAGACGTAAAACAAAATAAAAAATAAACTATTTTGTCCAAAGTTATTAGAACTAATACAGACAGTTATCAACCAATGTGACTTCTGCAAAGAAATTAAATATAACAGAAATCCAGTTAAAATCAAATTTGTTAAAACAGAAACTCCATCGGATAAGAACCAAATAATTCCCATGGACACATACGTAATAAAAAAATATGATTTTTAACTATTAAGGATAAGTTTTCAAAATTTGCAGCCGTTTACCCATTAAAACGATAGAAACCATATAACCATTGTAGAGCAAATAAGATTGTGGCTGATAATGAATTTAATTCAATAAGAATTAAAGAACTATTAAGCCGAGAAAATATTGAATTACATTTAACAAAACCAAACAGACATACGGGCAATGCAAATGTAGAAAGACTGCTTATCTCATTAGCAGAACAATTTAGGATGATATATAAAACAGAAGTAGAAAACATATCAGTAAAACAAATTATGCAAAGGTCAGTAAGAAATTATAATGACAGGTACCACTCTACTATTAAATGCACAACATAAATTTAAAAATAATTAAGAATAACATAGGAACCAATAAACTCAAGATGTTTTTTGTTTTTAAGAGTATAAAGAAGTTATTATTCATTAATCAAACCAATTATTATAACCATTACCTATATTATATATTACCTATAAATAAGAAAATTAATAACAATAATAGAATTCAGGAGAATTCTTATCTAAATGGGGGAGAAGTTATGTAAAATGACTTATGTATATGTATAACTCTTCTCATTATACAAAAACATATTTTAATCGATATAAGCATATATTTAAGCGACTTGTCATCACTTAGAGATGAACAAACAAAGCTCATACCTAATGTACACATGTTGAAGCATGATGAAAGATTGAGCCACAGTATGAAATTAAAATTCTTAAAAAATAGCAATGCCGAACTGTCGCCAAAGTTTAGTTGACTTCTGCGACTAGAATGAAGAAGTCCAGCAATGGCAATAAGAGTTTTATAATTTAAAATCAAAACAAAATTCGAGTGGTGCTGCTGACATGTGGTTTTGCAAACTGGCCAAACGTTTTGTTTAGTAACTTCTGTTTTACTTAATGGATTTTAATGAATATGAAGCTAATGTAGGGAAGCAAACGCCCTCACATAATGGCCCTATTTTCCACTGAATTTCAGTTTTAAAAAAGTCCAACCAAAATCAAAATTGCATAAAATATACATAAAACTAAATACAAAATTTGGAGGCTCTATGTCTACGTACGATTAATTTATTAGCTGCATTTCAATCATGATTTTATTCGTTAAGAATTAAATGGGAATACTTATCGAATATATGAAACAAACTTAATATGCCCGTGCTATACACGGACCTACAAACAAATTTCAAGTCTCTAGCTCTTATAGAAGTTAACAACAAAGTTGTTACACAATTCCGCAGTCTGGAATTCCCAACAACAAAGTTGGCGCGCATTTCTCTCGGTGGTCAACAATCGCTGCAATAGCGCGAAAGTACCGAAGTTCAGCAGCTTGCAATTCCTAACATCAAATTTGGCGCTCAACTCTCTCATCGATCAAAAACCGCTGCAATAGCGCGAATGTACCGCAGCTCAGCAGCTTGCAATTCCTAACAACAAATTTGGCGCTCAACTCTCTCTTCGATCAAGAACCGCTGCAATAGCGCGAAAGTACCGAAGTTCAGCAGCCAGTCGCTGAATGCAGACTATGTCGCGAGGGTCATCAGCAGCGCTGCCGCCATCAACTCGGACTTTAGTTAGCTAGGGTACAATCATCTTAAGAATAAATCAGTCTAAAATCTGGGATCAACCTGATCACAAGTAAAAATAAAGTTCAGAATTTTTTATTTTAATTTTGATACTGAGAACAACGCGTTCACACATACGGACAGACGGACAGGGCCCAACGACTCGGCTTGTCGTTCTGATCAAGTATATATATACTATATGGGGTCTGCCACGCCTCCTTCTGCCTGTTACATACATTTGTACAAAGATATGATTTCCCATTTTCAATGGGATCAGGGTATAAAAAGTAAGAAAACTCTAGTCGGGGTGCCCGACTAGGAGATACTCTGATCCCAGTCCTATTTGCGTTTATAAATATTTTCCGTAGTTTGTATCGAGTATTCAAAAAAATAAAAAAAATAAATAAAAAACGACATTACGAGACCAGGATTCGAACCCGGATTGTTTGCGCAACGTGCACCAACTCTATCAACACCACCACTTCACAATTTTAAAAAAAAATCAAACAATAAAAATATTTAATCACCACCGGTCTCGAACCCTGGGCCACTGTACCTCTTGCGAGACGAGTTGCACATTTGAAGTTGAGTAGCAGCTGATAATTCAAACAGTATTCATTCGCAATTTCGATTCTTGGAATAGAAAAGAATACACGCATTTGAATGTATGTGTGCATACGTATAGGAAAAATGCGTGCGCGTGGCGCTGCTGACATGTGCTTTTGCAAATTGGCCAAACGTTTTGTTTAATAACTTCTGTTTTACTTAATTGATTTTAATGAAATTTTCAGGATATGATCTACATATCCTATTGGCTTGGTTGAGATGCAAACGACTTCACATAATGGCCATAATTCCAACCAAACTTAAATTTTAAGAATATGGGGAAATTTGGAGCCGGTATCCAAAATCCGACAAAAATAAAAAAAATTTGGAGCCTCTAGCTCTTAAGACGTTCGAGATATAGATTATTTATTGCATTTCAATAATGTTTTTATTCGATAACAATTAAATGCGAATAGTTATCAAATATTTGAAACAAACTTAACCTGCGCGTGCTATACACGGACCAACAAAAAATTTCAAGTCTCTAGCTCTTATAGATGCTGAAATCCACGCGTTCACCCACAGACAGAGCTCAATCGACTCGGCATGTCGTAATGATCATGAATATATATACTTTATGGGGTCTGCCACGCCTCCTTCTGCCATGTTGCATACATTTGCACAACCTTAAAGTCTGCTTGAACAACTCTTTGTTTCGCAACATTTTGTTGACTTTTACAAATACCGCTTCTATTACATCGGATACCATATTTGGATCTGTTTGGGTTATTTCTTTTCATTTGTATTGATGAGATTTTTTTCGGTGGCCTCCTTAAATTCATTAGTAGACGTATGTGTTATTTGTTTAGTCTTTTACTTGTCATTGTATTCAGTGATCTGTCAATTTCTGGTAAGGTGCTGTCAATACGTTCTACATGACCGTTGGAGGTACTGTAAAGCATTTACTCCAAAATTTAATCTCACCAACGAGATAATGTTCTCTGAGTTAAAAAACTTTTCTTTATCACAGTATATAACTTTTCTTTTGCGAAAAATAATTTAGATGATAGGTGTTTTTACTTGTGTTTCTTATCAGTTGAAAAAACATCAATGTGAAATCTCTAGCCTGAGTAGAATGGTGTTGGTGTCTCTCTAAGAACCTGTGTCTTTGGGTGTCATATTTGGTCCTAGTATAAGTTTGCTGTTGGCTAAAAATTCTGGCGCAAGCTTAGTAATTTCGGAAAATAATATTCCTCCAACATAAAGGGATTATGTTCCGTTGTAACGATTGGTTCTGTCGTAACGGTCACTATATTTTTTCAGTTCCAAAAATTCGCTGACGGCAAACTTTTTACTTACTCACATTGGATGCTTGCCAGTGTTAGCAGATCACAGAATAGCGCGTTTACTACTTTGGGGATGACTACCTACTTTATTTCATTAAGTACCTTATTTCTGTTTGTAAGAAGTATTGTGTGGCGTGTTTTTTGCCAATAAATACAAAATCTTGTTTAAGAAAAACCCTGTCTTCTTCCAAAACTATTGGTCCATGAAATAATTCAAATATTTTTTTTTTTGCTGCATCGGAACTATTTTACTTACCTGATTTGGAGTGGATTTATGCGGCATCTTATTATTTTCGCACTTGGGTTCCTGTCAAACACTGGGAATGTGAAAGGCTGGTGGTTAGTGCAAAATTATATATCACGTGCTCCGAACAGGTATTGTTAAAACTTTACCAGTGCCCCCACTATAGCCTACAATTATATTTCGTAGGCAGAAGCATCCGTCGTTAGATCGAATGACCTTCTGAAATCTGCGTATCTGGCGTATGGCGTCTTCTGATGATAAGACATTTCTAAACCTTTTAAATACATCTCGTTCTGCAATGCCAAAGTATATCGGAGTAGGTTTGTTAAAGACCTGGCAATAGCTGCAAAGTCTTTAACAAAATATCGGTAGTTGCTGGCCAAACTCAAGAATGGCCGAAGCTTGTATATACTTTTCGGTTTTGGATTCTTGATATTTTCAAGATCAGTTTTTACGAGACCGAATGTTACTATAAGCCCAATGTTTTACGTTTTGTTTAAAATTTTGTATGTTTTCTCTTGAAAATTTAATGTTGGTATCACACAAACTCTTTAGAACCCAGTCTAATTGTTTAACGTGATATTTTTTGTTTTCGAGGAAACTATAACAACTATCACGTGTACGTAAACATTGAAATTTTTGTCAATTTGCTCATGTAAGAACTCGTCGATCGCTTTTTGCAAGATGATAACTACTTTCTTTAAGCCGAATTATAACAGACCAACTTCGTATTTTACTTCGGCCAAATATATTGATCATAGAAGGATTTTAAGTCCAACGTTGCGAAATATTCTTTACCAGGCTTGCCAATATCACAGAGATGTTGGTCATCGGGAACTTGAAGTCGATAACCAAGCGCTCATGCTTGTTTTCTCATTGGTCTTATCCTTATTTTATCTACGACCCATCTTGTTTTTTTTTTTTTTTTTTTTTTTTTTTAAAGTGAGGATACATCTTTAGAACCATAATTGATTGTGTCATTTATACTAACTAATTTTTGCATTAACATATCGAAACCTAGTATACATCATACTTTTTTATCAAAGATTATTATTAAACACTTTTGATGGACTTCATTCGAACCATGGATGGAAGTAATAGTGAAAGATAAACTCGCTTATGTTTTTATCTCCATTACAGGCTAAATGTAATTTTTGGCGGCTCCTTTGTTAATCAAAATTCTCAGTCGCCTCCCATCCAGCTGTCTTTTAATGAATGCACCCGCTGTCGCCTCTGGCCTATAATACGATCTGAACATTGCCTTTTTAGGCCCTACATATTATCGTTCTGTATGTTAGCGCTTTTACCTTTACAAAATAGCTTGGGCTGCTTGAAATTTATCATTGAATATCTTGTGTCAATGGGTTCAGCTTTAGTATTCTGATTAGTATCGCTTTGTTTTTTTTTTCTTGATTTTTTCCCTAATTCTCCTATGAACGCGTCTGGCATCTATTATACTCATTCGCTTGACTTCTATCTTCCATATCTTTAGCATATGTGGCTGCAAAGGTACTGCGCTCTATGCTAGCTTGTACCTCTCTAACCAAAGCAAAAGCGGATGCTAAGTCCTTGGGATGAGCTCGAAATACCACTAATTTCAGGTCTGGAGACGAAAGCGTGCATCATAATATTCCATGTGGCTAAAATTTCCCTTCATCTCTAGTCCCTGGCGGAGGAGCCGTAGCGATGTCTGTTCACTTCTTGTTGCACTACATTAATCTGAGCGTCAATCCTCAGTACGCCACCGAATTTATTAAATCCCATTAGAGGCAAAATATCACAATAAAATCCCATTTAACGTACCACGTTGACCGTTGTACCAATACACTTTTATGAGCTTTGTACTGTCACACAAGCCATGTCGAAGCTTCTGGGCAAAATAATTTCCGCTACTGTGTGTCGTGAAATTTTGATCTATTTAGACAAGTTGTTGGTGGTATCAGATTATTTCGAGTGTCAGTTAAATATTCTTAAGAGCTAGCAAGTCAAATGAGACACACGAGTTTGACCATTAATATGGGCTAAATCAATTTCTGCCTCAAAGAAGTACAATAATTTATAACCTATATTGAAGGGCAAGAGTATTCAATTGTCACAGAGCATGCCACTTTAAAATGACTCGTGTCTCATGCAGACTTGAGTTGTCGGCTTACAAAGTGAGCTCTAAAGCTCCAAGGATATGAATTTAAAAATAGTTCATAGATAAGGAAGTATAGTACCAGTTGCTTTATTGCGATCATATACAGAAAATGTGTTTACAATCACAGCAGAGTGCTTAGTCGATCTCGACTCAGAGCAATAGAAGTCAATTAGTCTATTTTTATTTTATTAAGTTTAAGCGATGTGATGTTTATGCAAAAGTGCAAAATGCAAAGCAATCCCGAATTTTTTAAATTTTAAGCTTACATTTTTAGCTTAATTAAGCTAGGCTAGCGATGTAGGTGATACAAATTAAGTGATTGAGTTAATTCCGTTATGTATGAAATTTTTTTGAATGAAATGGTGTTCATTCTTTTCGTGTCAAAATATAATTGATCTAATTTTAGCCATGATGTAAGCTGGAAGCTTATTTTTTATTTGTATAAATTTATTTATTATTTGTATACATTTTTCGTAGTAAGTAGCGGAAGGCTGTATTTAATTTGTTTACATTTTCTTCTGATAAAATTTCCGGCAACATTTTTTTTATTTACATGAGCTACATTTTTCTAAATATAAACTACTTCGCTCTTAAAATTTTTTTTCAATTTATAGGATATTTATCATAATTTTCCTTTTTTTTTTTTTTTTTTTTTTTTTATTTTAAAAGTGTAGAACCTGTACAATCAAATTTAGTACCTTAACAACACATGTATATATATGGAATTAGAGCCAAACCAGTCACAATATGAGGAATTCAAAGAAGACAGTTTACACCATTCCCATCGTTCTGGCTAAGCCTTGCCGTTTAAGTCGTCTTAGGGGTCTGGCAGGGATTAGACCTCTTGCAAGTAGGCTTCGGTGTCGTTGCAGTCTGTCCGTGTATCTGCTTGTGTGTCTGCTCTTCGACAGTAAACAGCTTAAGGTCTCTGTGAAGTATTGAGCCGCGCACATACCAGGGAGAGTTGGTTATCTGTCGCAGTACTCGGTTCTGCAAAACCTGAACCCGCTTATAATTAGATTTGGCAGCAATTCCCCAGATTTGCACTCCATAGAGCCATATCGGCAGGATACACTGCACGTAGACAGCTCTTTTGCATCTCAGCGGCAAGGTGCTCTTTTTATTGATGAGCCATCGCAGTTGCTGCTGTCTGTGACGGCATTTTTTCACCGCAGCTTTGAGGTGTGGCCCAAAGGTGAGACGCCTGTCCAGTGTGATTCCAAGATATTTCGCCTGTGCTGGTTGCTGTAGTGTTATTCCCGCCAGCTGGATTAGGGGAGCATGCATTGGCAGCCTTTTTAAGGTAAAGCAAGGGTTTAATGTTTTTAGCGGGTTGACTTTTAGATTCCATCGTATGCACCAATCAGCGAGAGTATCAAGATACCTCTGTAGTCCATAACTTGCCTCAATAGGACTTTTAGAGTTATAGATGATTGCAACATCATCAGCATAAGTTGCAATGAGGGCTTTCGAGGGAGCATCCATATGTTGAAAGGACGGGCTAGGTATATCTGAGGTATACAAGGAGTACAGCAACGGACCAAGAACACTACCCTGCGGCACACCTGCTCTCATAGGATATGTGGACGAAAGTGTATCCTTTACCTTGACTATAAACTCACGGCCTTCTAGATAAGACCTTAAGAGGCCATAGTACGGGGCAGGTAGAAGGTTTTTTATTTTGCACAGCAATCCATCGTGCCACACCTTGTCAAACGCTTGCTGCATGTCAATGAAGACAGCGTTGGAGTATTCTGAGTCATCAAAAGCCTGCAGGATGTGTTTCACCAACCTGTGAACTTGTTCCACTGTTCCGTATTCCTCCCGAAATCCAAATTGGTGATCCGGTAAGATATTAGACTGTCTTATTATGACATTAATGCGATTGGCAATGGTCCGCTCCCAAAGTTTAGACAGAGCGGGGAGTAGGCTTATAGGCCGATATGACTCTGGGTCCTCTTCCGGTTTGCCCGGCTTATGAATCATCAAGATCGCAGCTAATTTCCATTGCCTTGGGAACACTTGGAGCCTGATGATGGCATTAAAAATTAGTTCAATGTAAAGCAGCGCTCTAGTAGGCAAAGCCTTCAGCGTAGCATTGCAAATCTTGTCTATTCCAGGTGCTTTGTTTTTCGGCAATAGTTGGATCGCTTCAGTTATTTCTTCGATGCTTATAGGCTGAATAGGCAGGGACATCTGCAATGGGGTCTCCAAATTGAGATGTGTCTCCATGGTCTGCTCAATCGTAGCATAATTAAACGGAGTAAAACGATCCTCTAGATGGTATCCGAATGCGTTAGCCTGTTCCAATTCGCATTTAGCAAGTTCGCCACTGGGGCATCGGACAGGTACCTGTCTAAATGGTTGTCGTTTAAGCGATTTTGTGCATTTCCATAGAGAGTAGTTTGCATCTATTGTGTAGTCCATGGAAGCCAATTTTTGCTCGAAGAAATCACCTCTGAGCTCCCTTAAAAGGTTACGTAGCTGTCTTGCTGCACGGTTCCACAAAATTCGGTCCCAAGGATCTTGTGATCGAATTGCTCTTCTCCGAAGGCGCCTTTTTGTTCTGATAAGCTCTTTGGCCTCTCTAGTTAATACAATACCGTAATTAGGACGAGTCGCAGGATTAAGCGGCGTTGTAGCAGCAGCAGCTCTATATATGTTCTCCGAAAGAAGATCAACCGTGTTCTCGATGTCTTCACCAGAGCTCAGACACGAATTTAATTGAATTGAGTCATCCAACAGTTGTCTGAAAGCCGTGATGTCAGTACGGTTGTTTATTAGCCTTAGGCTTGGCCTGATATTAGAACCATCAATGTGCAGCTCAGCGATGAGGGCTAAATGGTCAGAATCTAAGTCCCAGTTTTCGTAGATATTTGTTAGATGATCCTGTATCCCATGGTATAATGCAAAATCAATACAAGAGGGTGTGT